CCCCAAAACCCCAAAACCCCAAAACCCCATTTAATTAGAATCCCTATAATAGTAGTAAACTCGACAAAGATATATAAATATATTATTTTAATTAAGCTTAGTAATTTAGCAAATTCGTCACTAGCTAACGATTTATGATTTTTTTGATCTTTTCAAAAGCATAGCTAGAGGTGTCTTAAACTTCTTCTCATCTTTTTTATCCTTGAAATTTTGCTTTTCTAAAATCTTATTTTTCCTCTTGTTCAAATGCTCTTCTCTCTATTAAATATTCAGATCTTATTTGGTTTTCAGTTCCTTTGAGGCAGTGTCATAAGATTGACAGAATTTTTTTAGCATCTCTGGTGGAGCATCATGCACCATCACTTTAAACTCCTTTTCTCGATTCTAAGGGTCTTAAACAACCATAGATAGCTTTCCTTTATCCATAAATTATGCATAAATCTATTTAATGTAAAAATACTCGAAAATAGCTAGCTAATTGTTTTTGAGTTCTTTTTTGGAAAGCTTCTGGTAGCTATCATCAATTATTCCCTGTTATAATCTATTGCTTAACTTATTATTAGTAACTATCAATTTGAAAGAAGTTTCAGTAATTCTGAAAAATGTGCCTTTAGTTACTTTTTAAACGGTCAAAGTCTTATCTTTGAACAATTGAATCTTTGAGTCCAGATACTTTTACTTCTCGAAATCACATAGAAAAGTGTACAAGGTTGATACTTTTTGAAGATATTTCTATTTCTACTTATTCTTTTCCTCTTATAAGATGTCCATAACTCTTTGGTTTATAAAGCATAGTGTATGGTCCTCTTAAACCATGCACCTTGAATATTCAAAAGTGCATGATGAAGGAAGTTTCTTTTGAATCTAAACAGCTGAACTGTTAAAGGGATTGCTGAAATATTTAAAAAGTAGCAATTAGCCGAAATCAAAGTAATGAATCAAAATGCCGAATAAATGATTTTAAATACTTAGTACAGAGAAAGTGGTTCGTATGAATCCTAAGCTAATTAGTAATAGCATGCATAATAAACTAGAACGGGCAACTTTTATGGTTGTTTTTGTGGTCTGAATTTTAAAAATGTGCATGACCTATAATTCCATCAAAGTATATGTCACACATAATTATGCAGTAACTACAATAATATTAAAAGCAATGGTCATTCTAGTCTTTCAATGGGAAACAATGAATATTAAATAAATTCAATCTCAAATCCATATCGAATTTAGAGCAACCAAAATCCTTTAAATTAGAATCAAATACCAATAAATAACAACATCAACAGTATCAGCCAATAGCCATAACTAAATATTCAGATTCAAAACCATTTGTCTAAAAATCAACTAGCCAATAATGTGGTGGAAAATAATAATTCATAGCTAGACCCTAAAATTGCAAGACAACTGTATTAAGAACTCTCACGGTAAGCTGATGCCGCTGAATTAAATGGAAACTAAACTCTTGACTGTCTATTATATAATTGTTAAAGAAGATTTACTAACATTATGTAGTAGAATATGCATCTTCAAAATGATCATAGCCTAGATGAAAGTTAGATATTGAAAATGCGGGGTCAAATCCAATTGAATCAAAGTCAATTATAGTTTCAAAACTAAATCTAAATACCTAAAAACTCTAATAGTAAAAATGATTCTCATACCTTTGGTCAACTAGAGAACAATGAGTAAATGGGCCAGCAATCAGTTAATCATTTGCAGGCAAATTAATAATAGACCTTTTAATAAAATTCGATTTAACAACATAGTAATAGTTCAAAAAACCTAGAGTAAAACAATCTTTAACAATCAGAACTTTAACAATAACAATCTTATTAAGCTGATAAGCAAGTTTCTAATCCTTTCTCTGATATCCAATTTAATCAGAATAACTAGAAAATTAATAATAATTAGAGTTTAAATCAACTTGCATAACCTAATACAGATAAATTAGCATTTTAGAATCTAACATATTTACCTTAGCCACCGTTAAATAAATAAATAGTACCGAATTTAAGCTTTCCTATGCCGATCGGACATTAGACTATTGACATCAATTCAAATTTGATGAATTAGTAGCTGTTGAATAATACAATTAAGCAAATTCTATCATTTGAAGAAATAAAAGAATTTAAGCAGAAGTTAATGCATTAAGTCTCCTAGAAAATAGATAGAATGCTTATTGAAAAGCTTATCAATCATTCAAATCAATAGCAATAACAATTGCCTAAGTTGGTTTTGCCCTAGGTAAACAAAGTCAATATTCCTAACTAAAACGGGTATGCCAATCAATAGACTTTGAACTATACAAATGGTTTATTGTCATAGACAAATAACACTGTTAGCTAATTTTAGCAGATGCCATAATATAATAAAGGGATGATTGCATCAATAATGGGAATGAGCTTGAAAGAATCTCAGAATATGCTAAATAAACTACAATTAGACTGCAATTAAACCATCAAGCAGTATAACAACAACATTAAATATGGGAATATAAAAATATTTAACATTGAAAAAGTTGATAGAGATCAATGGGATTAAGATTAGACGATTAGCTCTGAAGAGCATTAGGTATAGGCTGAACAATACTGATTCTAATAATAACTATATTGTTAATTTAGAAAAGTCTATTTCAATAGTTAAAACATTTAAAATCGAACTTATATAAAGATTTTTTATTCATACAAATTCCTTATTTTATATCAGCAATTTAGCTAGATGGGGTTTTGGGGTTTTGGGG